CTTCCTTCCTTCCTTCCTTCCTTCCTTTCTTCTGTTTCTTTACAGTGCTAAGCTTTAAGCCGTGGGCCTTGAGCTCACTAGGCAAGTACACTGACTGAGCTATATCCCCAGCCCTTGGTGTTTGAGACAGGGTCTAATTATGTGGTCAAGCTGGCCCAGCACTCCGGACTCTCCAGCCTTAGCCTTTAAAGTGCTGAGGCTGATTAGACTAGAGGCCTGCTCCAGCATACCAGTTTTAGCAAACACATATTGTGAAAATTAAAGGTTGAGAGGAAGTTTCTATAAGAAGTCAAATTTTAAAAATTTATTTGATTATTATATCATCATCATCATCATCATCATTACTGTTATTTGAGACAGGCTCTCACGTAGCCCAGGGTTGGCCTCCGATTTCTGAGTAGCTGAGGCTGGTCTGGAACTCCCAATCAATTCTCCTGCCTTTACCTCCCAAGTGTTGGAATTTCAGGTGTACCCTATCACACCCTGCTTGGCTCAACTATCTTATTTTTTTTTCCCCCAAAATTGAAACAAAATGTTTTTATGTGTATGTGTGTCTGTGCACCCAGGGGAAGCCTGGTGCCCAAGGATGCCAGAAGAGGGTTCCCTAAGAACTGTGATTACTTACAGACAACTGTTAACTACCATGTGGGTGTTGGGAATCAAATGCAGGTCCTCTGGAAGAGCAGACAGTGCTCTTAATCACTTAGCCATCTCTTCAGCCCTGGGTCAGCTATTTTACATATATATATATATTATTTATTTATTTTAAAGATATGTAATTTATTTATTTCATTCAGTCTTCATGAGAACATGACTGTGGCCTATTTTACTTTTCAGGAAAGAGGCTGATGACATTGCGTGCTTGCCAAATTCACATTCACACTTGAAAAGAAAGAGCATGATCCCTTGCCCTAAACTACAATGCACGGCCCCTCAGAAGAAAGGTCTTCAAAAGCTGGGATAGCGTGTAGGTGGAGAAGAGGTCTGCACCTTTGGCCTGGGAAAGCACTGTCAGTTGTGAGAGCCCCAGATTGGTGGGTGAGAACCAGATTGCTCACTGTGGGAGCATCAGAGAGACCAGAAGAAAACCAAACAACTGTTTGTTGCTGTGTTTTAGCTTTTTCACTTTTAGAGTGAAAGGACCAGACCTGACCCCGTCCCCCAAAAAGCCATCAGTCCCAGGAACTAGGCCATAGGTCACCAGTTCCAGGAATAAAAAAACCATAAAATTTGCCACTGAAGGAATAGCCTGGAGGTAACCATAAGAATGGGAAGGTATCTTATCTCAGGGTGGGGCATCTGTGCTGGGCAGCCCACCCACCAAACATTACTGAGGTCTACATATAGCTCACTCAATATTTGTTATGTTAGTTAGCCAATCACTTTGTAACAAGCTTGCCCTTGCTGAATATCACCCAACTGTGTAACTGCTAAGCTGGGAATTCCCGGTTCTTGCTCAAACCCCAAATAAAAACCCTGCCATGTAGCTGCTGGGGCTCTCTTCTCTGATCCACTGCATTGGTGACCATACAGAGATGGAGCTTAAGCCCGAATAGCTCTTTGCTCTTGCATATGTGGTCTGGCTCCTGGTGGTCTTTGGGGACCTTAAGATCTGGACTCAACAAGAGTCCCTAGAAAGACAGGTTGAGTGATGCTGCCAAGAAGGAAAGTGCTCATTCCTTAAGCTTGTTAATATATAAATGTCTGATCTGTTGACTTTTAAAAAATCATTTCCATACACTGGCTAATTCTCCAGACTTAAAAAAAAAAAAGTTCATTGAGCCAGTGCTTCATTTTTTAACCCAAGATCCATTGGATTCTGACCTCCTACCATATGTGCTCTGCAAAGTCACTCAGACTAACAATGACTACAATTGATGATGTGCACTGGGATGCTAGCTTATTTTTTGGAGAGAAACCTTTCACTTCTTCTGATGTCTGACTGCCGAAAAAAATAATATAAAAATTGTTTTAGTGAAGGAATAAAAAGGGCACATATAACCAATAGAGCCCTGTTGGCTTAGGGAGGCTCCTGGTTGGGTTCCTAGCGCTGGTAATTGGCTGTTTAGTACTGACTGTACTTGCTGGAGAGCTGGTGAATGAATATTTTATAAGGTAAGAGGGAGAAGCGAGGTCTCATTCTGGGCAGCTGCCAAGTCTAAATCTCTTCCTTTGATGTTCTGGCTCAGCTTTCAGCTGCCTGTGGCCGAAATGTCTCACAATTAACTTAAACGAGGGTGCGAACTCCAATTCATGGTTTTATTTTTCAGACTCTTTTTGCTGAGGTCCTATTCCTGAGAACAGCACGGCACATTTTGTTCCAGACGCTCAGACTTTCGGCTGCGACCGCAAGTGCGCCTCTTAAACATTAAGCTGTGAATTGTCTAGCAGGCGTTTAGTTAATCCAACAAAACCCTGAGCCACGGCACCACCGGCATTATCATTACCACATCAAGGGAAAGCTGCTGCTTTGTAAAACCGGTAACGTAGTTAAGGTGCCTGGGACCATGGGGTTCACACCTAAGTCTTCCAGGCACCCAGGACTGGAAACATCAACTGCTCTGCACATTTAGCCTCCTTTTGCCTAACCGTGTAGACCTTATTCCTGCATGTCCCATGCTATGTGTGTCCCTCAGAGTCACTTCACTCACTGCTCTTCTCTTAGTGAAAAGCTGCCAGTAGCTCCTCAGGGTTGGAGTACACTTCCTTACCAGAGAGCTACCATGGACTCTCCAATCTTGGTGTGACCTCTTATCCCTTGTAAATCTCTTCCTCTACTCTTCCATCTTTTGAAGTTCTCTGTGCCTCCATCACTGTCTAGAGGAAGTTGTCATTTCCTTTCAGGAAGCCTTCCACAAGTTCCTCCAGGGGATAAAGTCATTCTGGAATTTTCTTGGGATAACATGTTCTAATCCGTGCTGTAGTCTCATGCTAATCTTCCTGTCTCAGCTTCTGCAGTTCTGGGGTACAGAGGTGTCCTGCCATCATTTCCATAAGACCCTAGTCCTCAAGGGTTGAGATGTGATAATTGGCAGGTGGGTAAGCACAGTGAACCAGAGCCTTGCTTGTAAGTAAAGGATTAGATGCCATTGTTAGGTTGACTATGCACTCTGTAGTCTTCAGTCTGGTAAGGGGGGAAGAAAATGTAAAAGCTGGAGAACAGCCAACACATAAACTGAGAGTGATCAGAGGAGAGAGGATGCAGAAGGGCCCCGGGGAAGGATGAGACCTGAGTTTTGCTGAAGAGAACATAGGGTGTTCCACAGTGGGGAAAGTGGGAAAGCCAACACTCAGGAAGAGGAAGCTTGGCTGTTTCTTTCTTGCAAGACTGAGAATAGTGAATAACACTCTCCTGATTAATTAACTGTTCTAAGTTCTTATTCTATATTCTTAAATTGCTGCGGCTGCTCAAGTTCACCACTGAACTGATCTCAATTACAGCACATGGCAATATGCCAGTAAACTACCTTTTCCAGTTTTTAACTGCTTTTGTATTTTAAGGTTTTACTTACCAACACAACCTGGGAGGGACGGTGAGAAATTATTCTACTGACTAGAAGTTAGAACTGTGAAAGGAAGTCTTCTCGACAGCAGACTTTCTATATGGTAAAGCTATTTCTTCATTTGACTCATTTCTACCAGGCTGCTGTTTGATTTCAGGGCCATCGTCTGAGAAAGAAACAGTTGACAAAAGCATACTGTCAGCTCACTACTTCCTCCCCTGATAATCAAATCCAGATTCTAAACTTGGGTTTGGAGACAGGCAAATCCTGGACATGGTCATTATTCTACATAGACCCCCTAAAGCACTATCAGAAAAAGCCTAGGAATGTATTTAAAAACTACATTTGGTTTTAGTGAAAAGAAAGACATCAAAACATTTTTAAATTGTGAAGCCTTGACTGGGTTTTCCATTTGTTAAAATCTTTCTGATACGAATTACATGTAATTTTCCCCTTAAGATTATACCATTGCTAATTCTCTCCATATGCGAGCAATTTGTGTTTGACCTTTAACGAATGTCCTCTAGGCAGATGACTTGCCATCCCAGAGCAATGCCACAGCGTCATTTCACATGCACACAAAGACTTGAAAGCTCCATAAAAATAAACGAGCCATGATACAAGAGGCATTAGCCAGCAGAAGAGCTATTTCAGCCCTGTAAACTTCAATGCCCATACATTCAAAAACCTCACCGGGTCACTTTAGTGCTAAATTCATAGAAACAAAATGGTAAACACACATGTTTTATTTGCTAAGCTGCCAAGCTTTGTATTCTGGGTAAGAGTTGGGTCAGGAAAAGCTAGTCAAAGGCACACGGGAGTGTGCATGATCTTAGGTGCTACAGGCACATTTACTGTTAAGCATCATGTATATTTAATAGCACAATGTCTACTTTAGTGTCCTTAAAAGCCTGTATTCACTTTATAGTTTCCATTATTGAAGAGCCAATGTTGAGTTCTCTTGTAATTCTGTAAAGTGCAGGCAACCCACAAGAGTGTCTAGATTTAGCCAGTGGTCCCATGGGACCACGGTAATTATTATGAAATCATTAATTCTATCTCAGCACTTTCAACTGACAGGTACGCATAACAGTAATTGCAGCTAATGAATGCTGTTCAATTTATTAAATGTAAAATGAAAACCAGTATTATTGTATATGCAGCGCTGAAGCATATTAGCATTCATCATTTCTGTGTGCCATGTGGAATTATGCTGTCTTATATGATATATATCCAGAATATGTTGCCATATGTTTCTAGAACTTTATCAAAAAGTGGTCTAGGAAATTCTACCTCTCTAACTAAAAACCAAATCAAAATAATTAGTACCCAAAGTCATATTTACTCAGCATGTATGTTTATGTGACTTCTGTTTTGAATAAACAGGACTTTTTTCTTGGGCTCATCTCTTTTCGACCAGTCCTCAAAAGCGTGACAGAAGCTTCTAGTTGTTTGAAATCTTCATCTTGTTCTTTCTCTCAGGTTTTAGGAGTAGAACTTTTGTGGCTAGAAACACAGCCTGTTTCATGATTTTAAAATGCCAGGACATTTTAAAGTCTCTCATTTTCAGTTACTCAAAGTAAACTGCGTAGACATTTGCAAGTGCAAAGAAAGTAGAATTTTTGAAAGTATAGGATGAAACGGTATCGTTTTGAGGATCCCAGAGGCATCTGCTGCCAATATGTATGCTCTGGCCATCCCGCTGTCCGATGTAAACAGTCACGATTAGTTTATACCGGGGAATCGTTAATTCCTTGACCCGGGCTTTAATAACCTAGAAATTGCATAAAAGGTGGGGGGAGTTATTTAGTCACGTTAAATCTCAAAATTGTTAAACACAGTGTCTGACATGGAAGCAAAAGGGAGGATAATTTGGAAAGGATGAAGCAGACCAAAAGAAGGGCGGCAAGGAGGATGAGGGCACAATGAGAGAAGGGAGCGTAAGGACATATGAATGTGAAAATGAAGCTCACACTCAGTAGGCTAACTTTAAAAAATATGAATTAAAAAATTTTAAAGACAATAGCATGGTACATTGTAGGTATTTTCAGTATCTCACAGAAACACAAGTGAACTTTCCTTCAAGTACTGTCCTCATGGGACAGGAATCAAGAAACAAAATGACAACATTAGCAATAAACTGACATTTTCTAAGTGTACAGAAAGGCACTGTAGTTGTTAAAAAAATAGAACTGTGTTTAAAGACCACGTATATGGCAAGGAGAAAACAGTGCTTACAGTGTTGTAGTTACCAAAAATAAGTTCCGAAGGTGAAGCAGTTTGGGGGTAAGGTGATGGTTCACGGGTAAAACACTTGTACAAATGTGAGGACCCGAGTTCAAGTCCCCCAAACCCAAGTAAACGTCAAGTATGGTAGTGGGCATTTACAATCCCAGCTAACTTGGCTTATGCTGTGGTGAATGGCAAAGAGACTTTTTTAAACTTTTTTAAACAAGGTAGAGTGTGAAGACTAACGCCCAAGGTTGTCCTTTGACCTCTACACGTGTGCCGTGGCGTGTACATGCCCAAACTCACATACACAAACATGCGCACGTATGTATACGTCAAACAAATGCACAGGATGATTTTTTTTTTTAAGTGGCATGGGACTGGAGACATGGCTCAGCAGTCAAGAGCACTGTCTGAGTGAGTGAACGTCACTTCATTCCCAGTGCTCGTATCAGGCCGCTCACAACTGCCCTTAACTCCAACTCCAGCACCGAAGCCTTCTTCTGGCCTCCTTCAGTACTTGCACACATGTGGCTTGTACAAATATGTGCGTGTATGTGTGCGCAAACACGGACACACATACATAAATGAAAAAGAAATCTTTTTTAGAAAAAGAAGCTTTATACCAGCAATACTTAGTTATAAATGACATGCGCAGTGATAGTTTTAGACAGAGGCTTATCATATACACATCTTCCTATGCACTTAGAGTGGAGGAGCTGCTAACTATCTCTATGATATATAAGTGTGCCATCTTAACTGGTTCTGAAAGTTAATTCTTTCATTACAGAGCAGAAGGTGGGTTGTCCTTCAGCAAATACTGTGGTTATAAATCATACTGGGCAAACTGCCCTGTACCTCAGAGATTGTTTTAGTCATCTGTCTGCAGAACTCTGGCTCATACTCTGCTCCTTGTAGATACGTGGTTAGTACATCTTCCAAAATGCGATTGACAGTGGTCGCGGGAAAATGTTTGGTGGGACCTGGAAGTACATGAGGAATTTCTTTAGAAGTCATTTCTAATGGCATCCACCTACCTTATAGGTTCATAGAAAGAATACTGAAACATGAAGCCCTTTAGCCATCTGGGTGAGCCCCAGCTAAGGGAGCTAGAAGTCTGAATTAGTGTCAGGTTTTTCTGGAGAGAATGAGGGGCTAGTAAGTTCAGAATTTACCAGGCTACCCAAGGAATGAAGTGAGTTCTGCCGAGGTTCTCACTACAAGCTGCTCTTCATCAATTTCTGTGTTTGGTGGCTGCTTACTTCAAAGCTTTACCATCTTTCTAATCGGCTCCTCGGTGCTTACCCCCACCCATGCTGCTCTGATTGATCACACTGCAGCTAGAGAACTTGCTTGGAAAACCCAGATCTTAAAATGGCATTGACCTTATGGGTGTCTCTAGCTGTGTGCCTAACAGTGCTGCGGCCTTGTTCCAGCCACCATAGCAGCACAGGCTGCTTCAGTCTCATGGGCCCCATCTGCCATATAAAGATACTTATCGTTTCTTTACCCTTGTGGAATCATTCAAATGGAGCACCGGTCCCCATCTGTTTTTTAAGAAATATCCACTCAAGTTTCAATTCTGGCTCAAATGTCTTCTCCAGGTACTCTTCCCTCTTGTATCTCACCCCAGGTACAAAACACCTCTCACTTATTCTGGACATATGTCTCCTTACCTGTTGCTATCCTGGGCCCTAATCCACTTGAAAACAGGTAACGCCTACCTGCAATTCTCCCCAGTGAAATAGAGCAAGACGCTTTAAATTTAATCCCTGAGACCCACCCACATGGTGAAAGGAGAGAGAACCATTTTCCAAATGTCCTCTGGCCTCTGTGTGAGTGCTGTGGCAGTCTGCACGCTTGTTGCACATGTAGGAATAAATGTAATAAATATAAAAAATTGTTCAAAATTTTAAAAGAAAAGGAAAAAAAAAGGATAAGTGAGACAGAGTTTTATCCTTCTAGGAGTCTACCTCCACACTTACGGATAATTTCTGGTTTTAGTAAATTTAAACATTTTAAACATCAAAACCGCCACACAAATAATAGTTATGTTTTGCTAACCATATTTATGTGTCAGGGACCGTAATAAGCATGCATTTACCTCATAATGTCTTTCAGTAGATCTTTGAGGGGACTTTCACTCTTATATCTGTTCCACATATGGGAAAATGGAGATGTAAGGCCAGAATCACAGAATCACAGAGCTGGAAACATCTGTCCCAGGTTTTTCTGGCTTTAAAATTTACATTCTCAACCGTATTTCATCCACATTCAGATCAAAGTTGTAGATAAGTGGGACTCACTCTGGCAGCCCTGAAATTAGCTCTATGATCCTTCTGGTACCTGCCCATGGCTACACAAGATGCCAAGGCTTACAGTCTAGGGGATGGGTAATTGCTGAATCAATAAAGAGGAAGAGTTGGAATCAGGATGCTGTCCAATTCTCTTCTAGTAGTTAACATTATCTATCAGTGTTTATTCGTTAAGCCTATGTCAGATAAGGAGACGAGGCACACTCATGTTAGGATTTAACGACGGGCGCCTTCTGGGAGGTCTGAGAGAGAAATGGAAATCACAAGGGATAGGGTTGTCCCCTTCCACCAGAGGAAGCATGCCACCCTAAGCCTAAATGATTCAGGAAGGGAGCTTGGACTAGATCCCAGCAGGGCTGTATGGAGATGGCTCCCTTAAGGGCGCTGCGACCCTTGTCTGAGAGATGTAAGCAGCCGGAGATGAAGCCACGGCAAGCTGCCAGGCAGGTAAATCCCCAGGCCTCACACCGCTTACATTCCTGCCAAAGTTTCATTGGCCTTATCCAAGAGAAGGTTACAGCCTATGGTTGTAATCCAGTGAGGTCAGCCTCTTGAGGCTCATTAAGAATTTTTATTTTGATGATATAAGAATGGTTTAGTTCCATTTAAATCAGGGTAGGAAGCCAGGCATGGTGGTGCACACCTGTAATCTACACCCTGGGAAGGTAGAGACAGGGGGATTAGGAGTTCAAGGCTGGTCTTGGATACATAGTGAGTGTGAAACCAGCCTGGAATGTGTGAGACTCTGAAAAGAAAAACAAAAGGGAGAGGTTTGAATCAGGTAGGGGCCAAGTAAAGGAAATGTGATACAATTGTCTCTAGCAGCTAAAACATCTGTTCAACACAAACCTCAAACTGTGGAAGGCTCATCCTGCTCCTGCTCCCAGAAGCCAGAGATTGGGTATCAGAGACTAATTTCCCTACAGCAAGCCTGGATACCCCTAGATCTCTGTGTCTTTTGTATAAAATCCCCACTGTGCTCCTCCCTATACATGAGCAGCCATGGAGAACTGCCGGTTTGGGGGGGAGGGGTGGTTTGTTTAAGAGTTGTCCACTGTGCTCCAATGCATGGCCCCCCACACAGGAGTAAACGGACAGTACATGTTGGAGTCAATGGGTTATTGGAGTCTGTGGTTGGGGTGGAGCTGAGAGGAGGATAAGGGAAGGAGTTAAGGGTTAAGCTGGTGGAAACACAGCAGTGACTGATGAAATTCTCAAAGAACTAATATAAAGTATTTTTAATAAGATTTCCACTTGTACACTCTTATTGTGTAAAGTCAAATTTGAAGGTGTATTGAAAATATTAAAAAGTATGTCACTAGCCTGGACTAAATTACATAATTGTGTCATTCAGATAGACACCCATCCTTTTTTGCATCCACTCTTCTCACCAAGCGCTCACATCATAAGACCTTACTTGAGCAGTATATTCCCAGGGAACTCTTCTTCCTTCCATTAAGCCACCTGTCCTCACTGTTACACTTAGGAAGTGCATGGTTCTTCTAGTGCAGATAGTTGGTCAGTGTAGTGCCCCTCTGTCCCCGCTCACCCATGGGAGCAGCATCTGCCCTCCTTCTCGTCCTCATGGAATACTGGAGAATCCATCACTGCCACCCCTGAGCCCAAACACAGGTGATTGGCTCAGGGGTGGCACAGCTCTAGGCCACGCCAAAACAGCACTTTCTTAAGAGCTTTATTTCAAAGTGGAAGTGGGTGGAGAAAACAAACCAGCCTCTTGCTTGTAGCGAAAGCTATGGTTTGTAATCCCTGTGAACTGTCAGAGGCCATGTTTCTTCCAGGTTGGAAGGAAGGCCACAGTGGGAGAAGGAAGAAGCTGCTACACATATAGTTGCAGAAAGAGCATACGGGATTCGTGGAGCCTGGTTCTCTGTAGCACTCATGGTCTGCTGTAACGATGTCCTTTCCAAACACCGCGTACCCCTTTTTCTCACAAACATGAGTCTATCTTCAAAACTGTTTCTCTATGTGGAAATGAAGACTCATTCTTCACATTGTAGAGGCTCTTCCCCTACTCATCCAGATGGGGACACCCAAAGAGAGGGAAGCAAAGGCAAGACAGGCTCCTGAACTTACTTCCAGTGACAACTAACGGAATACACACAAAATGTGTCGTCTTCATTTTGAGATAATTCTTTTGCCTAAGGAAGAAAATGGTTTGGACTTCAAAAGATCCAAAACATGAGACAAAACTTAAACACAAACAAAACTAGATATAAGGAGGGATGGTGAAAACAATAACTAAACTCTCTGTGCCACAGCCTCCCCCCCAACTGGGATAACAAGAATTACTCCAAGTCAGGCCTGGCATCCCACACTTGGGGGGTGCAGGTTGGAGAGTCAGCACTGCAAGGCCTTCCTTGGCAATGTAGTGAGTTCAAGGCCAGCAGGAGCTATCTTGAGACCAAAACCAACAAAAGTTACTTTGTATTATTTTGTCCTACGATTTAAGGAGATAAAATATGTTTTAAATGGTTAGAAGAGTGCGTACCAAGCCATAAAGCGCTCCTTAGACATTCATTGTGATTATCTCCTGCAAGATGGCTGAGGACACCGAGGGACCTGCACAGGAAGGACCCTGAGAGAGTAACAGGTTCCAGCAGAGAAAACTTGATACAAGAGACTGGGGCTTGAGAACCTCACAGAAACTAAGCCCCAAGATTCTTTCTTTCTCTCTTTCTCTCCTCCCTAACTCTCTTCCTCATCCCCACCTCCTTCTTCCCCACCCACATCACCATTTTCCATCATGTCGGCTTCACTTACTATGGTAGCAAAGTTAGCCACTATGATGGGGCTCCTTGCCATCTTGACTGGGTCTGGGCTCTCCTAAAAGGCACACCTCTAGGCATGTCTTTGAAGGTGCTTCCAAAGAAGTTTAACTGAGGAAAAAAGGCGCAGTGTGAATGGATCACACTCTCCCATTGGCTATAGTCCCGGGCTGAATACAACGGGGGAAAGGAAAAAGCCATCAGAGCATCTTTATCGTTCTTTTTCTAACTGATCTGCCCAGATGTGAGAGAACAGCCTCCTACTACCATGGCTTCCTCATCATGATGGTCTGTACTCCCAAACCACGAGCCAAAAAGAAAACCTTTCTTCCTTACATTGCTTTTGTCCAGTATTGTGTCATAGTATAAGAAAAGAGACTAACTGAAACTCTTCACTGATGTGATGTTCACAGTCACCATCTTTATCAAAATAAATAAATAAATAAATAAATAAATAAATAAATAGATAGATAGATAGATAGATAGATAGATAAATAAATAAATAAATAAATAGCTATTTAAATTTAACCTGAGCTCCAGAAAAAAGTGCGGTGCAAATCGGACTCCATAATTCACGGGAGTCTCATTGACTAAAACAAGAGGCCTTCATGCTTAGTGATGTGTGCGAAGGCCTTAGCCCGTCCCTTTCAGCAGCAGTTGTGGTGAACGGGAAGCAATGTAGGTACAGCATTGTGCCGATTCTCACAGCATCCCTGCCACCTGCAGACCATAGTGTTATTTGCACACAAAGAAGCCATAACTCCAGGACGCTTTGCTTAAATGTCACCTTCCGGGGCACTATCGGAACTGGCATTCACGCTCGTCTACATTAGATGCCCCAGGCTGTCATTTTCTTCCATTCTCTCCTCTCTGTGCTTACTGAGCAAAGGTTAAAGGGTGTTTTATTCTAGGAAACAGAGCTCTTTTCTACTCTTTCCATTCCTCATGAACCATATTCATGTTTCACTTTATGTATGGTAGCTGTAAATCTCGCTTAGATAAAGGGATAAACACAGCATAACTTAAGATGTGTTTTGATTGGTGAGCTCTGAGCCACCTCTCCAGCTTCCATGATAAAAGGCCTTTGGGCTAGATTAAGTCTGCTCTTGAAAGCAGTCAGTCAGCTCTGCTAATAACTAAACTGTATTTCCAATTCTCCTTGCTCTTGGGTTTATTTTGCCTGTGGAAGGTACTCAGGGCCCTTACTAAAGGTTTTCTTATATCAGCTTGATGTAGAACTGGCCAGGAGACAGGGGAGTGAGGGTGACAGTTGGTCAAGCTCCTTTATTCAAAGGTCAGCTCTTTTGAAACTTAGACAGTTTGTTTATTTGCTCGAAGAAATTGTGAGAAAACAAAAAGCATAAAACTAACAAACACAGGGATTTGCATTTAAATTGATTTCTCTTCCTGCAGTTGGATTCCAGGCCTTTCTTCTGGACACTTGAGTCAAGAGTCCCAGGCTGCCTGTGAGAAGGACAGAGAGGGAGGTTGTGCTTCTCACTCACACATGGTGTCGGGATCGCTGCAGAAAACTGGCTATAAGACCCAGCAGGGTCAAGAGATGGCTTATAATTTTCCTGGGTTTAACAGGCCACAGGTGGAAATACCCTGGCCCACAGAGCCCTTCTTTACCCCATGGTAAGTCTCTATGGGATTTATGTAGGGCAGCAATTACATATGAATTCAGATAATCACAGGCAGGTACACACTTAAAGAAAACAAGCAGGTTTGTAAAGGAACAGGAGTGGGAAAAGGCACCTGGGAACGCAAGGGCAGGTGTGAAAACCTTTGTTTTCAAAGAACTAAAACCTCAATGGCAGTAGCTAAACATCTCTGCTAACAGGGGGCCACAGTCGGCTGCCTCTGCACTGAGGCATTTTTTTTTTTCCTACACCATCCACAACACTGGTTGGTTTTGAAGGATAAATATCGATGCACATCTCTTTCACACACATGCACACACACACACATACGTACAATAGCTCCATCCAGAAAGTCCCAGAGAACCTGAATTCAATCCTATATTATACACACTTACGGCATTCAGAGATTCATTTGAGATCTAAGAAAGAATGTTTTTGTTTTGTTTTGTTTTCTAGAGGCAACAGGTGTTGCTTCAAATTTGCAGTGCAAAATGGTAACTGTAACTCGCCACCAGCTTTCTAGAATTAAGGTCCCTTATCTAGGGCTGGAGACAATACCAAGATACCGTTGAGTCAGCACTGTGACTGAAGTGGAGGCTTGTGTCTGGATGAATGACAAAAAAAAGCACACCTAACTGGTAGGTGTTTTCCATCCGAACCGTAAGGCGAGAGGTTTCATCACGCTGGCTGGGCTCGTCGGCGTGAGACACAGTGCTGACAGAACTAAAAGCAGAGGAGGAAAGTGTTAGTGACAAGTCACAGTGCCAACAAAACAGAATGTTGCTTTGAGGGAGTATGTTCACATATGCAAAATTTACGGTAAGAAAGTTTCCAATTAAACCTCAGAAATAGCTCAATGACATACGCAAAGTCTGATACACTTTGAAGATGGGAATATTGAGATGGGAAGAAGGTACTGTCACAGAGTCTCACGGTCATGGTGCAAGTCCAGAGCAGGTGCTCCTGGGCAGATCGAAGTCTATGGGGCAGTGGAGTGCTTCAAAGAGCCATTGCCAATGGAGTGCCCCAACAAAGACACAAAGGCATAGCCCACAGTAAACAAAACTCACAAATCGGACTTGGGGGTGTATAAAGAAGCTTAAAATGTTGGAAAACAAATCCACACAGACAAAGGGTATTATAAGAAGATCTCATTGTGATACGTTCTGCCAAATCCCTTCAGAATCAAAAAGAGAAATGGGAAACTCACTCATCTATATGGTGAGAGAAACCGCAAGTCACCCAAACCATAGAAAGTCAATCAATGTCAGTTCTCTTCTCAGCATTAAAGAGAATTATCTCCAAGGCAATATGATCTGATGCAGGTGCTGAACAAGAAACCCAAGCAAGGAGGAGCCCCTGGTGAGCCCTGGGCACTGTGTAATTCAACCTAGCTCAGAGAAAAGCAAGTGGGCTAATGAGCCTACAAACGCTCTGCCCTGAATTCCCTCCATCTGTGAAGATGGAGGTTAAGACAGATGCCATTTCAAAGGCAATGCTATAACTCTCGTCTCTCTCTTTCTGTGTGTGTGTATCTATGGGTGTGAATGTGTATTCAGAGTGACCGTTTTTCCAAGAAAGGCTATCTTTTTGCTCTAGTTGAATAAGAAAGAGTTATTTGGGTTTCGTTTGCTTGATATTTTAGATAGGATCTCACTGACAGCCCTGGCTGGCTTGAAACTGTAGCATAGGCTGGCCTTGACCTAGCAGAGATCCACCAGCTCCTGAGTATTAGGATTAAAAGCATGCCAACCCCATGCCCAGCTTATTTGTTTTTAATCACTGGGATTTTTTTTTCTAAGTTTAAAATAACTTAGTCTGCAGATGTTTGAAATTAGTGCAATCTGAAAATTGACATTTCAGGAAAATCATATTTAGTCTATTTTAAAAAGTCCATAGTACAGTACAGCTTACAGGACAAATTAAAGTTCCCTCACAAAGTCCAAGGACATGGTGACATTCCAGCTGCCTTTGTCCAAGATGCATCTTTGTAGTGGCAAGTCTGTCTTCTTCCTTCTAACACCTGCTTTTCTCAGTTTCCTGCTGCTGTTTGAAGTAGCCGCCAACCAGGTAGGCCACTGTGGCTACTGGTGTTGTGGGCAGGACCCGAGATGACAGACAGCTTCTGCCTGTGGACCCCAACTACACTGAGTAAGCTTGTGATTCTGTGACAAGCCCATGTGCCCAGTATTGTGGATGCTGCTTTCAATTTGGGAAGACAACTCTGATCAGCTATGGTATTTCATCTTTCCGGCGTCATTTGATGCTGTAAAGAAGCCATCCTTCCATTCATTTTAGAGAGAAAAAGGAACAAGGCCAAGGACTTACTGTCACACAATTGGGAAAGGCAAGCTTTGATTTCAAATATCCCACTTATCTGCCAGTCGGAAAATCTAATGTGTGATTACACTAGGCAGAATGAAGAATGGGTAATGACTTCTGGAGCTAATGGTGGCCGCTTAGATATATGTGTGTGGGCAGCGAGCAGGGGTGTTCCCTGAAGCCTTTTCTGTCTTCTACTGGTATCAAGCTAAAAATTCACAGAATGCAGAGCTGATGCGCAATTCGTATTCGTTGGCCTTAAGATACAAAAGGAATGACCAGCCTCCTTATTGTTTTGCTTAGGGTTATTAAAGACTAGTAGTTAGTGCACTTTCTGATATTTTTGCTATGAAGATGGTGTCTGCTGTGGAGCTTTCAAAAGCCAGGGGTCAAAGTCTGATGCACTTGGAATTGGAAGTTTCACAGGGCTAGTCTGTCTGAATCATGGAAGATAGTTTCTTGGAGTCTTCTTTGTTTGTTTTGCGTATGTGTTTGCGAGTGTGTGTGTGTGTGTGTGTGTGTATGTTTGAGTGTGTATGATGTGTGAGTATTTGTGTGTATGTGAGTGTGTATATGATGTGTGAGTATGTTTCTATGTGTGTGTGTGTGAGTGTGTGTGCATATATATGCAGATGCATGTATAAACCTGAGGTTGATGTCAGGTGTCACCTCACAGATTGAGGCAGGGTCCCTTGCTGAACCCTGAGTTCCTGATTCATCTAGTTTGGCAAGCCAGCTTGCTCTGGAGGTCCCCTGTTTTTGCCCTCTGTTAGTGCCCTGGTATCCTTGCATCCATATGGCTCTTGTGGATTCTGGGAATCCTAACTCCAGCCTTTACCCTTGTGTGATGAGGGCTCTGCCCACCGAGCAGCCCAACAATCATGTAAAACATGTGTGCTCCTTGTAAAAACTGCAGAACACATGGGAAAGTAGAGAGTAAAATTACAGTCCTCGCCCCAGAGCTTAGGTAAACACTGTTAATTGAACAATTGTAATTTGTATACGTTAATCATAAATTGTATACGATTTTACATACACAATCCTACTTTGTTTTTGTTTTTTGTTTTTTGTTTTTTTGTTTGAAACTGTATCCTAGAAGCTTTCCATGTCAGTAGCAAATATACAGCCACAATAAAAATGTTAGCTTAATATGCAAACATTATGAATTTTACTTAACTGTTTCTTCTCCAGGCCATTTAAAATTGCTCCAAATATACCACCACTATTAGGGAACATTTGCCTGACAGTGACAGGGACTGAAAACAGTCTTTTCAGTATTGTTTCTTTCCTTTCTTGGTAACAGAGAGCTAAACTGGGAATGTTTTTGTCTAAATACAAGGCAAGTCCTGAGGTCCCTTTCTGTGCTGCTGGAGTTCTGAGGCTGATGAACCAGTGTGACACAACCAGAGCTATTTGGGCACAAAACTGAGAAAGATTTCTCAAAACAAAACAAAAGCCCAAATCAACAAATGTGAGTTACGCAGTAAGAGATTGTCTTCATTTTCTTCGTTCCTCGCCTGTGTGTAATAGCTCCATCCCAGGGGCTTCTTGACCTCATCTTAAATTATGAACAACGGAAGCCTAGGTCTCTGAACTGCCCCACTGGGCTTCATATATATATATATATATATATATATATATATATATATATATATATATATATAT